TGTTCTACAGCAGGGGTAGTCAACCTTGGCTCTTTTATGACTCGTGGACTTCAACTCCCAGAATTCCTGAGCCAGCTAAGCTGGCTCAGGAATTCTGGGAATTGAAGTCCACAAGTCATAAAAGAGCCAAGGTTGACTACCGCTGTTCTACAGGGTGGCTCCCCTTGGTCCCACCAGATGGACCTCCTTAAGAGAGGGGACCCAGGACATCCCTTGCCTCCTCGCTCTGGTGGGTCAAGTAGAGAAGACTGGGAGATGACGGTCCTTCAAATAACAGGGAGGGAGCCACCATGGAGAAGGCCCACCAGATGGACGACCTCAAGAGAGGGGACCCATAACATCCCGTCTCCCTATTCTGGGTCGGGGGGGGGTGTAACTGGTAAAAGACGATCCTGGCCCCAAGCCGTGGAGGGCTTAGAAGGTGACAACCAGCACCCTGAATTGCAGATAGTCCTTGACTCACAACCACAACTGAGCCCATCATTTTTCCTCCTAAGCAAGTGAGTTTGGTCCCCTCTTATGATCTTGTCTGCGACAGTTGTTGCAGTTGAATCGTTGCAGTTGTTAAGGGAATCCCAAGTCCTTAAGTGAATCAGGCTTCCCCCATTGAGTCCATTTGTTGGAAATAGTGATCACATGACACACACACCCACACACCCAGGACAGTGCAACTCTCACAAATACAGGCCGGTTGCCAAGCGTCCGAATTGTGATCACGTGACCTGACCGTGGGGATGCTGCAATGGTGATAAGTGTGAAAGACAGTCGCAAGCCACTTTTTTCAGTGCCGTTGTAACATCAAACGGTCACTAAACGAGGACTACCTATATTGCTGTCCCTTGAGGTGTCAGCCTTGCCCCTCGGGGTGTTTTTTTTCTTCATTAAACTACCATTAAACAATGATCACTTTTCAACCTGGGGATTTCCCCGTCCTCATTCAGACTTTTTCCTTCGTGTGGCTAGGAAATCCCAGGAGAATCGCCGGGCCTTCTCGGATGACAAACTGAAAGAGGGACAAAACGTCATCGGGCTGCAGATGGGGACGAACCGAGGGGCTTCCCAGGCCGGGATGACGGGCTACGGGATGCCGCGCCAGATCCTTTGAGCCCACCGTTGCCGGCCTCCTCCTTCGCCTCCTCCAATATCTTCCTTTTCCAGAGAACTTTCCGGTGTTTCTTCTCCGTGAAACGATCATTTTTGGATTCTCCATTTTCCCTCCAAGCTCCTTTCCACCGTTTTTTTTTAATATTAAAAAAAACCACACCCTCTAGGTATTTTTTTTTCCAGTCGTATCTCCCCGTTCCTGCTTTTCCTGTCTCGGTTGGGGTTATTTTTTTCCCGGCCTCTCCAACATCTCGTGGCCCTTCATCTCTCCGAGGATCCCCAAATGTTGATATTGGTTTCCCCCTCTCCCATCCGCTCATGGCCAGTTCCAAAGACGAGATGGTGTCTTTCCCGTATCTTGTCTTCCTTGCTCCAAATGCTGACCTTTTTAAGGCAGCTGCTTTGGAACCAAAACCAACCCACTTCTTAATTTTGAGTGAGTTGTTGTCTCGAGACTAGGAAGATCAGGTGATTCACCCCATTCTCCCAAAAAAGTCACCCCTGGGAAGCTGGGTGCTCGACAGGACCCCCTATCTACGCTTCCTGGCTTCAGCTTTTATTTTGAGGAAGGGGCGGTGGCGTTAATACAAGAGGGGGCAGAACCGTGCCGCTGAGTTTGATGTAGTCTGTTTCTCTCTTTCTTTTGCAAAATACTTAAATCAATCCAAGGGGGAGGGGGGGAAAGGAAAACCACCCTTGAGAGTAGGGAGATCCATGGTGCTGAGTGCCCGTACCCACCCTCCACAGCCGGACCAGCCTTTTTGGTCCTGGCCTTTGGGAACATGGTTGAGTCACACACGCAGCTTTGGGGGGCAAAGCCAGAAGCGAGATAACTTACCCTGAACTGCGGGAAAGTATTTGGCCTTGAGGCTCTTGATAAGAAATAAAGGTTGCTCAATTCTTTTGTTTATGGGCCTGTGTCCTTCTCTTTGGCTCTGCTGCTCGGATAAAGCTGGGAGGGGAGGAGGGGGGGAAGGAACCTTCCCATGTGTTTCTGGACTACCTCTCCCAGCAGCCCCAGCCAGGAAAACCCTTTCAGGCAGAAGCTGAAAGTCTACGCAAATCCCAATTTACAGACAGGGCCAGGGAATTTTTTTGGGGGGGGGGAGTTAAGGGCTCCCAGAGAAAACCCCCTAAGGATGAAAAGGCAAATTAGTTTCACGGGATTTAATTTTGCCACACACCCCCGTGCAACACAGCGAGCGTTTGTGCAAGAAACGACACTGCTAAAAAATCTAGCGGCTCGATTTCCAAGGAAGCAGCTTCCTTATTTTAAAATGCTTCCGTGAAAACAGTCAACAGAAAACCAGGATATAGGGGAAAGGCAGGGAGGGGGGGAGTCTGGGAAGTGTTTGGGGGTGCCTGCGGGAAGAATCCTGAAGCCTTCACGGATACTTTCAGTTAGAACAATTAACCAGTGGAACTACCTGCCTCCAGAAGCGGTGAATGCTCCAACACTGGAAGTTTTTTAACAAGAGACTGGACAGCCGTTTGTCCGAAATGGTGTAGGGTTTCCTGCCTGAGCAGGGGGTTGGGCTAGATGACCTCCAAGGTCCCTTCCAACTTTGCTATTGTTATTATTATTACTTTATAAACCAAATCCTAGCCGAGGGGTATTTTATTTCAAACTCTTGGATTCAAAAAATGACCGGGTTTGTATCGGTGTGTCCTGTCTTTTACTACTGAGTCTTCTTTCTCTTTCCTCTTTAGTGTCAATCTGTCCATTTCTGCGCAATCTAAAATGTTCTTAATTAGTTCTTTCCAATATTGGGCAAAAAACAATTCTTACACGTAAAATTAAGTATAGACAATCTTTCTCATAGCTTCCTCCTATTATGCCTAACAGAAACAGTTCTGGTTTAAAATCTAGATGGTTTTTTTTTTAGTCATTTTGAGCCCACAGTTTCTGTTGCTAAACAGGAGCTTTGCCCCCATTTTACGACCTTTTCTGTCACAGTTGTTATGTGAGTCGCTTGCAGTTCTTAAGTCACGGTTGTAAAGTGGATCTGACTTCCTCACTGGTTTTGTGCTGGTCAGTGACGCTGGGACAGCTCAGCCGTCATAAACGTGAGACATTTGGCAAGCGTCTGAATTCTGATCCCGTGACTGTGAGGATGCTGCAAGGGTCATAAGTGTGAAAAATGGCCATAAGTCCCTTTGTCCAGTGCTGTGGTGACTGTGGTCACTAAACAAGTGATTGTAAGTTAAGGATTACTTGTAATTCATGCCCCGCACTCTAGGTCGTTGCGCAGGTTAGCTCCCCGACTAGCTGGCGGCATTCGGGACAAGCTGCTTTGATAGAACAATTAGCCAGTGGAACAACCTGCCTCCAGAAGCGGTGAATGCTCCAACACTGGAAGTTTTTTAAGAAGAGACTGGACAGCCATTTGTCCGAAATGGTTTGGGTTTTCTGCCTGAGCAGGGGGTTGGACTCGATGACCTCCAAGGTCCCTTCCAACTTTATTATTATTATTATTATCCTCACCCCTTGCTTTGCAAAATTCTTCGGCAGAAGAAGGCGGAGGAATTAGACCGGGTGGGAAGGGACGATGGAGGTGAGCAAAAAGTTATGTGGAAGGTTACACCCGGTGCTTTTGACCCAGAAGCCTCAGCAGGAGCCAAATCAATCACTGGCCTAATACATTTATTAGCCAGACATAAAACCCGTTTCAGGAACGGAGCCATCAAAACTTTCCTCCAGTGCTTAATCTAAAAGCTTTTGCTTGCCAATTAATTTTTTGTTCCCATCGCGCTCCGCCAACCTATTGCCACAAGCCTACAATAGCTGTATTTGCATAACCAGGTTAAAGATCTGTCAGCTGTTAACCTAAACAAACATGCAAGAAGTCCGGTTCAAGATTAACCGCTTCTCCTGCCTTCTCCGAGGGGGGATAGATCTACAAACGCAGCAAGGGTGTTTGGTGGCTAGTTATTAGAATTTTATCCCGGCTGTATGACTTTATAAGCAACCCAGGGTGGTGAACGTATTTAATTAATCCTTTCTCCTCCTATGTTTCCCTCAACAACAACCCTGTGAGGTGGGTTGGGCTAAAAGAGAGCGGGGGGGGGGATTGGAACAAAGTCACCCAGCTGGATTTCATGCCTAAGGCGGGACTAGAACTCCCCGTCTCCTGGTGATTGCTCAAAGTGTCACTCAGTCAGCTTTCATGCCTAAGGCGGGACTAGAACTCACCATCTCCTGGTGATTGGCCCAAAGTCACCCAGCCGGCTTTCATGCCTAAGGCGGGACTAGAACTCACCGTCTCCTGGTGATTGGCCCAAAGTCACCCAGCCGGCTTTCATGCCTAAGGCGGGACTAGAACTCACCGTCTCCTGGTGATTGGCCCAAAGTCACCCAGCCGGCTTTCATGCCTAAGGCGGAACTAGAACTCACCATCTCCTGGTGATTGACCCCAGCCGACTTTCATCCTTCAGGCAGAACTAGAACTCCCAGGCTCCTGGTTTCTTCACCACTGGACCAAGCTGGCTGTTCAAATTCAACGCGTTGTGTGAACCACCACCCCCCAAATGGGCAAAATGAAGGCGAATTGGCAAGTTCGGCTGCTAAAAGTTGCAGCTTTACTGGGCAGCCCCCTTTCTACGGGTGCCCGCTTTGGAAATTTAAGTTTTCCAGAGTTTTTTTTTCTTTCTTCCTAGGTTGCTGTCAGTTCAGGTACAACAACTGAATGAACCTCTGAAGCAAGGCAGACAAGAGTCCCTGGGAAAGGGTCCAAGGTTGCCTCGGTTGCTCCACATTTCTACATATATGCCCATTGTCCTCAACCAGGAAGTAAAAGTTTTTATTTATCCAATTTATTGGCTGCCCATCTTACCGCGGGATAACTGGGTGGCTAACGCCAAGGTTAATTGGCACTGGCCTCCAGTTTGTGACCTTTAGTTCCTGGAAAATGCAACCTTCCCTTGTGGTTCGTTTGGGGTTCGGATCCAGCCTCTCCACCTCTGGGAGAATGCCTCGCAAAGGATGCTGGGAAAGCACTTCAGGTATGTACAGGGCTGTTCGCAAAGCCCGTCTCAGGTGGCAATGAGTCCCACGTTCGCTATGTCCAACTCAGCACAATGGGGCCGCTGACCCTAATTAGCAGGGATATTAAATTGGGAGGCTGGATGCTGCTTTGATCCTCGCCCCTTACTTTGCAAAATTCTTCGGAAAAAGAAGGCGGAGGAATTAGGCCGGGTGGGAAGGGACGATTGAGGTGAGCAAACAGTTATTTGGAAGGTTACACCCAGTGCTTGGTGGGGCCATTACCATATTTTAGGATGTGTTTGTCCTGCGAAGGTGTGTCTTTGTTTGCGCTTTTGTGTGTGTGTGTGTGTGTGTGTGTGTTGGCCAGTCCGGGCCTCTAGATTTACACTTGGATCAAAATTCCCTCTGTTTAAACACGGGGTGCACGCCCTCGTGACGGCGATCGTCCCAAAGGCATAGCCTGGATGGCAAAAGACTTGATCCGATACAGGGAAACTGTTCTCTTTCAGATTCGCATTAAATGCATTTAGCGTTTAAAAGCAAGGGACCCTCGGCGTACGGCTTAGTTTCCTAATTAAGCCAATCACTTCGAACGAATTAATCTCAGGAAGGAAGCCACAGTTGATGAGAGAGAGGGCAGGCCTGTTGGAGCAGAGATAGAAGCCCAGGACAGGGAGCCAAGCTTCAGACTTCATGAAGTCACTTCCGGCCATTCACATAGTAGAAATTTGTAAGAGGGTTAGTAAGGGATGAGAAGAGGGGGGTGGCTGTCTGGAGGAAGGAGTAGAAACGAAACAAACAGGATAGCTGGGCTAATCCAGGTGCTTCAGAAAGCACCAATTGTCCTTTTCACAATGACCTCGGACAGTTCAAAAGTTCTGAGTTTTTCATTTCTAAGCATAGAACGTAGAGTCACAGGATTGAAAGGGGCCTGGGAGGTCTTCTAGTCTAGCCTCCTGCTCAAGCAGGAGACCTTATTCCATTCCGGACAAATGGTTGTCCAATGTCTTCTTGAAAACGTCCAGTGATGGAGCTCCCACAACTTTTGCAAGCAAGCCATTCCACTGATTGGTTATTCTCAATCTCCTTAATTCCTCCTTAGTTCCAAGTTGCTTCTCTCCTTGATGAGTTTCCATCCATTGCTTTGTGTCCTGCTTTCTGGTGCTTTGGAGAATAGAATGCAGAATAAGAATAGAATAGAATAGAATAGAATAGAATAGAATAGAATAGAATACAATACAATACAATACAATACAATACAATACAATACAATAGAAAATAGAATAGAATAGAATAGAATAGAATGTAAAATAGAATAATAGAATAGAATAGAAATATAAAACAGATTAGAAATATAGAATAGAATAGAAATATAGAATGTAGAATAGAATAGAACAGAATAGAATGTAAAATAGAATAGAATAGAATACAACAGAAAATAGAATAGAACAGAATTAGAAAATATGGAATGCAATGGATAGAATAGAATAGAATAGAATAGAATAGAATAGAATAGAATAGAGCTGGAAGGGACCTTGGAGGTCTTCTAGTCCAGCCCCCTGCTCAAGCAGGAGAACCTATACCATCTCTGACAGATGATTGTCCAGTCTCTTCTTGAAGATTTCCAGTGATGGAGCACCCACGACAGGTTGACCCCCTCTTCTTTGTGGCAGCCCCTCATGAATTGGAAGACGGCTATCCTGTCACCCCGGGTCCTTTGACCCTCTTTGGATTTTCTAAACTGTGGACAGGTATAGAGAAAAAGAGTGCAAACTTCCTTTTTTTTTTATTTCCTCCCCTTTGTAACCTCGCACCGGGCCTACCAGTTTCCTCAAAGGCTCAGAAATGGCAGGGGGGAGGGGGGCGCTTGGAGTCCCAATGCTTTTGGAAAACAGAGAAGCATCGCTGTCCTCGTTCTGAATTGTTGGAGCAGAACTGCGCCACCCTGTTTACAGTTCATACCTGAATTCCTGCCCTTGAACCCTCTCCGAGCGTCACCTTGCTATACTGCACCGATGCCAAACATCCTCCAAGCCATCAACTGCCCAAGCCGGTTATGGTTACTGAGCCGGACTGATCATTCCAAGCAGCAACGCGAGACGTTAAAAAACAATTCTCTGGAAGACTTTCCCCTGATTTGCGACATCTCTCTCTCTCTTCTTTTTTTTTTTTAACCCTCTCTTTGCTCTTTGCTCTGTCATTTGTCAATTTTTCTAACTTTTCTTTCTCCTATATATTTGCCTTGCAGTGAAACTTAAATTAAAATGTCTAATAATAATAATAATAATAATAATAATAATAATAATAATAATAATAATAATAATAATAATAATAATAATAATAATAATAATAATAATAATAATAAAAAGGAACTAGAATGGCAGGTTTAAGGACAGTGCTTCTTTTTAACTACGACATATTCTTCTAACTCAGGGGTCTTCAAACTTGGCCCTTTTGTGATTTCTAACTGGAGGCTGCAAACTACAATAGGGATCTGGGCCAAGTTACAATGGGTTGGGCTTGGGAAAGAAAAACTAAAGAAGGGGTCCTATCGCTCACCCTCCTGACAGTTAGAACAATTAACCAGTGGAGCAACCTGCCTCCAGAAGTTGTGAGTGCTCCAACACTGGAAGTTTTTACGAAGAGACTGGACAACCTTTTGTCTGAAATGGTATAGGGTTTCCTGCCTGAGCAGGGGGTTGGACTCGATGACCTCCAAGGTCCCTTCCAACTATTCTATTCTATTCTGTTCTGTTCCATTCCATTCCTGTTTTCATTCTATTCTACTCTATTCTATTCTATTCCTATTTTCATTCTATTCTATTCTATTCTACTCTAATTCTATTCTATTCCTATTTCCATTCCATCAATTCTAATTCTAATTCTAATTCTAATAATTCTTATTCTATTCTTATTCTTATTCTTATTCTATTCTATTCTATTTGGTGTCATCAACGCAAGGAGTATGAATTTGGGCAAAGTCCAAGAGACAGTGGAAGGCAGGAGAGCCTTGGCACTCCATGGGCCACGGGATCGCGAGACGTCGAGCACAACTTAGTGACTGAACAACCACAACACAAATAACATTTTGTATCTGTAGCTAGGAGATCTCCACCCAAGAACCGATTTGGTAGGGTAGGGCACCAAAGCAGCTGCCAGCCAGCCAATGCCTCTTCCTGCAGCTGTTTCATGCATTCCAAGATGTCTTGCATTAGACACACCAGACAAGATTATGAGCTCCTTTTGTAGAGTTAAGGAGCTGGAGAATATTAGGAGAAGAAAAAGAAAATATTTGACTGCAGGGCTGTGTGGAGAGAAAGAGGCGGCGGCATCATCTTAAATTAGAAAACGACAAAGGAGATATATCTTCAGTTCAGGACAAACCGCCAATTTCAGAGCAGCTCTTTGTTGCAAAGAAACAGAGCAAACGAATTCTGGTGCCACCTTATGGCCGAAAACCAGACATTTCTGATCAAAACTGAAGAGGGATTTAAGTCAGCCATCGAAAGATTTATTCCCAGCCAGAGGTTTTGTAGTGCAAATGCCGGGAAAAGTTCATTCGTTTGTCAGAGAGATCTTTGTGCAGCCGTGCTGATTTCTTCTTGAATGTCTTGTTTTTCTTTTTCAGCGGTATTGTGCTGGACTGGGCTTTTACGGTCGCATTTTTTCAGGGTTTCCCACGCTTCTTGGGTTGTTGTCTTTCCCTTTTAGGATTTTCATCCATGGGATCTTTAGCTGTAAGCGGATTGAGTATTCTTGCATAGTAAAACAAGGTTGGCCTGAGATGATTGTGGTGGACCGAAAATTAAAAAAGCAAACAAACCCAGAGTAAAGCTGTAAGTGGAGTTTACAGCTCCTCAGAGATTTCTCGTCTTCCTACGGGCATTTCGTGATGCAACTAGGTAACATCATCAGTGCTAGAAGAGAGGGGTGTTTGTGGAGAGGAGGGGGAGGAGGAGGAGGACTGTGGGGTCCTTGGGGCTCTCTGAGTTTGGTTGTTTTCTTGCAGACGTTTCATGACCCAACTAGGTAACGTCATCAGTGCTAGAAGGGAGTAAGATTTGCTCCTTGTTTATATACAGTAGCTTGATGTGTTGGTGGGGGTGTGTTGTTTTTCCTTGGAAGTTCCTTGATTATACTTACTCAATTACTGCCTGATTGTTTGTCAGAGTTGACAATTCCTTGATTAGTGTATTGTTAACTGCTAGATTATTTGTCTGGTATTCATCCTTGCTTATCTGGCTGTTGACTGCTGACAGAGGATGCGTTCTGGTGTTTTTGTTTCCTTGTTAGCTTGTTTATTGTCTCAAACTGAATGATGAGGAAACGTCGTTTATCTCTATGTCCCTGTGGAAGGCTGATTTGTTTGAGTGCCAAACTTTCAAGAATTTACCAGCGTTTTTGGATTTAGCTTCCTCTAGAATGCTCAGAGTTTCCCAGTTGAAACTATGGTTAATATTGTGTACAGTATTGAACACAACAGTATTGTCCAGCAACACAGTGTTGTGAAAACTCAGAGAGTGCCAAGGACTTCCCAGTTCAAACAGAATAGAATAGATTTTTTTACTGGCCAAGTGTGAGCAGACACACAAGGAATCTGTCTCCGGTGCATAAGCTCACAGTAGATATATAAACAGCAAGTAGGTCACAATGATAGTTACACTCATTAGTCGTAAACCCTCAACTTAACAACCACAATTCATGGGCTTGTAATTGTTCATCACTAGCGTCACCAGTATGTCCTCAAATTAAAATCCTCAACTTCTATCTCACCTCCAGTTCAAACATCCCCAAACTGAACCATCAGACACGTTTGTAAAAAAAAACAAATGGTAATAAGAATGGGAAGCAGAAGAATGACATCATACACAACTAAATGTAGCTATTGCAAAAAGTACAGACACTTCACTATATAATTCACTTCTAACTGACACAACCCACGTTTTACAACGTCGATAATAACAACAGGCTGGCAGACTGGGAGCTGAACTGCACTAAAAAGTTCCTGCCACTGGAAGCACCACGGCGCAAAGTTTAAAATAATGCTTTGTTTTGTTTCCAATCACAATTTCTCAAGCAACTCCAGTTAGGAAAGCTTCATATAGATCACGAATACAGGAAAACAGTGAGGAAACAGAATAATGGTACAGGCTGCAATTCACACAAGATAATGTGTGTGTTTATATTTACATATATATATATATATATATATATATATATATAGTAGTGTGTATGTACACACACAATCACTTCTAGACAAGATGGGCAGCACATAAATCTAATAAATCATATATATGTGTGTGTATATGCCTATGTCTATGTGTGTGTATATATATACACACATGTATATGTATGCATACCCATATATGTATATACATAATATACAATATAGGTATAACAATATTACACACTCACAAACATAACTCCTTTTATGAACCTATAATCCCATAATTAGGAGTAGAGTTGGGGCAATACATATATGTATAAAAACCTAGAACTTTTCAACACACCAAAATTATGTAAAATAGTAAAAGGTAGAAAGTGAGAAAAAGATAAAAAGAAAGGGAATGAAAACAATATATATATTAAAAAAAACCCGGGTTCATTTGGGTAAAGCAGCGGGATATCGAAGGATCATCTAGAATAAAATGTTAATGCAACGGGCTTCAATTAAAATCTAGATTCTAGATTTTAATTGAAATCCATTGAATTAACATTTGATGTAAAACTATACACATTATGCAGAAGTACTAAAAAAGGGATTAATACCCATTAGCTCATATTCACACATTAATTAACCATACACGCATTATACAAGCATTTAGACATGCATATGCAAGGCATAGAGGCGCTCTGTAGACACTCATATCAGTCGCCTGGAATGTAAACAATAGCCACGTGGCTTTGAAAAGCCGACAACATCTCGGAAGCTCCGCCTCCTAACCGGGCGACGCGCTTCTCTTCCATTAGTAGATCTATGCGGACTCGAAATGCCGTTTCGGAGACGGAAGTGCCGCTAAAGACGAATTTCGTCCCTGACGGAGAAACGGCGGGATTTTTAACAAATAAAATGACACACACCCCCTCTTTCCCTCACCGAAACGCTCGCTTTTCCCTCCGGTCCCGCTCGGGCCGGAGCGAGGCCGCGGCCGAGGCGAGCATCGTCTGAGGGAAAGAGAAGGGAGAGAAGTACGTCACTTCCGCCGCGAGACTCGCCTCCCCGTCGTCATGGCGAGACGTACAGTCGGGAGCGCCGTTGTCATGGCGACCGGTAAACAAGCGGAGCCGGGCGGAGGAGGCGCCGGGGGCGACAGTGGCGGAGATGGTGAGACCCTCGCCGGGGTTTAATTCCCCCTCTTCGTCCGAAAAACGCCGGGCTACCGTTAAACCCGTGCCTAACCCAGGAGGGCCATTCTTGGAGAAGCCCCAAAGCCCTCTGCACATGCTCAGAGACCCCCTGCCCTTTCCTTAGTACCAAAGCATTGCTTTATTATTATTGTTGTTATTTTTTGTTTTTGTTTGTTTGTTGTTTTGTTGTTATTATTACTATTACTATTACTATTACTACTATTATTGCTATTATTACTATTATTATTATTATATTATTTTGCAACGAGTTTATGCTTTTTAAAAAAAAACTGTCTTAGCCTCAAATTATTACTATTACTATTACTACTATTATTGTTGCTATTATTACTATTATTACTACTATTATTATTATATTATTTTGGAACGAGTTTATGCTTTTTTAAAAAAAACTGTCTTAGCCTCAAAGTTTTCAACTTCATTCATCGTTATCTTTTGTATGAATGCAACTACCCAATTTTTAGTTGGCTTGGTTACCCCTGGGGTACCTGCTTCCAAGCCACAGGAGATCTGCAAAGCATTTAAAACACTGAAGTTTAATTAAATTATTAAATTAAATTAAATTAAATCACCCAGAGTTATCCTGCGGTAGGAAGGGCAAGCAGCCAGTAAATTTAATAAATAAATAAATATTTAAATAAATAAACATTTAAATAAACAAATACACATTTAAAGTCGAAATTATCTGAGATATGGAAGAATTAAAGCACCCTATTGCTAATAACCCATTCATTTCTTATCTCAGTTGTTTGTGGTCATAAGTTGAGGACTGCTTGTTTATTAGACATTCTGGCTTTTAAGAAGACTTGATGAAGTATCAGGGAAAGCTCACCGCGCATCAGATTCACGCGTCTTTCGAGCACATGTCTTTGCATTCACCGTTTATTCTTCCTGTCAAGAACGAAACTTTGGCAGCTACCTGCCTCTTTCTTTCGACTTTCCATTAGAGTTGGGGCAGAGGTGTTATATTAGAAATGTTTAGATTGAGAAATGAAATGTTTACAATTAGGCTGAAAACCACAACAGCCTGAAACCTTTCCAAGGACACCGCAGCAGGTGCGGAGGAGAAGCGGACGGTTCCCCTAACAAAATGAAATTGTTTACAGGGACTACGTGAGAGGTTGAGAGTTCGGCTGGGGAAATTCTTGTTCAATTCTACGAACTGGTGTCCGGGAACCTCACAGTTAGTTTTGCTTCGACATTATCGTGTTGTATATTCAATAAACGGCACGTTTTTCGGAAACAGAACGAACCTGGTGATTTGTTGGGATCTTCAAGCTGGATGTTTGACACTTCCTTCTTCCCTGCAGCCAAGCAGTATCTGTTCGCTGGGCAGCTCGTCCAACACTTCCTCGGCCAGGTCCCGGTCTCACTCTCGCACCCGTTACCGGACCAAGGCTGCGAGTTCAGAAGTCGACGAGAGCCTCTTCGGGATTTCCAAGGTGAGGGCGAGCAGATTGCGGGGATCTGAAGTCTGTTGTCATCCCCCTCCCCTCCTGAGCCCCTTCCTTCTGCCCCTAGAATTGGATCCGTTTGAGGGAGGAGGCGATATATTGAATATCACAGATTTATTGATCTGCACGTCTTAGGGTCTTTCAGAGTTTCCTGACTGTGCAAACCCTTAAGGCAGCTACAGGTAAATCCTCGACTTACAACCGTTCATTCAGTGACTGAAGTTACAACGGCCCTTACGACCGTTTTTCACACTTACGACCTACAGCACCCACACCGTCAAGCGATTAAAATTCAAAGCCGTGGCGACTGGCTCGTATTTATGACGGTCGCAGCGCCCCGGGGTCCCGTGATCCCCTTTTGCCACCGTCTGACAAGCAGCGTCAATGGGGAAGCTTCACAACCGTGTTAGTAACTTAACAACTGCAGTTGTTAACCACTTTGGCAAGCCAGGTCGCAAAATGGGGCAAAACTCACCTGCCTCATTTAGCGACAGAAATTTGGGGGCTCCGTTGTGGCCGTAAGCCGGGGATTACCTATAGTCTTCCAAAATGGGGAGGGGGGCACATTTGTGGAGGTCCTCCCGCGAAAACCAAACAACTATTTGTCCCCAAATTTGGGCCTCCCTCTTGTTCTCTTAAATGGGCCAAACTCGACCATCCATTTTTTACGCTGGCTCGCTCTCTCCTTTGAGGGACAGGTTACAAAAAGAAAGAGAGGGAAATGAAATAGCTAACGATAGTTAAACACGCGTTTTTAATCCCTCCCCAGGAATTGTTGAGTTTTGAGCATCTCTCCCCTCTCTTGCAGAATGCGCAGCTCTCCCGTCCAGGCAGCCCCATCGTGCTCCTTCATGATCTGTCGTCAGCGAGAGGGAAAGCTCTGGGATGGGGCCGCAAGCCCGAGACGATCCGGCTTATTACCCGAGACCTCATTCGGGACCTGGTGTAAGTCCACTGGGGTCCTTCACCCCCACTTCCCACCCCTCTTCTTTCCACAGCTCCCCCGAGGAAGCCCTTGGGAGGGTACCGACCGCCATCGTGGCCTCTCTGCGGATATTTAGTCATTTGTTAAATTTAGTTGAGGAGAAACTTCCTGACAGTGAGGACAAGCAACCAGTGGAACAGCATGCCACCAGAAATCGTGGGCGCCCCGTCGCTGGAGATTTTCAAGAAGAGACTAGACAGTCGCCTGTCTGAGACGGTGTAGGTTCTCCTGCTTGAGCAGGGGGCTGGACTAGAAGACCTCCAAGGTCCCTTCCAGCTTCTATTCTAGTTGCCCCCTGTCTCATCACGGGGCTATTCTCGGCAGCTTACAGTAACAAAAAAAGAAGGAAATATAACAGACCATAATATTTTACGGCCTCCGGGCCACAATGTGCCCTGTGGCTGTCCCTGTCTGGCCCGCGTGAGGGCAATTGGAAGTTAGGAAATAAAATGTAAACAAGTGGGCCTCAGGGCACAGGGGAAAAAGCCAAATGTTTACCCTTAGGCAAGACAGAGAAAGAGGTTTTGCACACCTGCGGCAAAAGACCGGCCGCCAGGTGAGGCTCCGGGCTCCCTCCTCCCTCAACACCTGGACACCAGCGGCAGACTTAACTTCAGCCTATGGGTTTGGCCCTCCACAACGGTCCTAGTTTCTCATGCGTCTCCTTGGGAAAATGAATTGCCCACCCCGGATAGATAAGCATTATGTCAAGCTAGAATTTGATACTGCCTTTTTTTATTGTTCCTGCCTTCCATGAGGGAGACAGGCAGTTAAGAAATAGATAGACAGACAGACAGACAGACAGACAGACAGACAGACAGACAGACAGACAGACAGAGTGGTGGGATTCAAATATGTGAACAACCGGTTCTATGTGTGGATGCCGCTTCTGGAAGTCCGTTCTGGGCCTGGGCAACAAAAAATTAGCTACCGGTTCTGCCAAAGTGGTGCAAACTGACTGAATCCCACCACTGGATAGATAGATATAATAGATGATAGATGATAAACAATAGATGAGATAAAGATAAAGATAAAGATAAGAGATAGATAGATAGATAGATAGATAGATAGATAGATAGATAGATAGATAGATAGATGATAGAGACAGAGATAGATAGATAGATAGATAGATAGATAGATAGATAGATGAGAAACAATAGATGATATAAAGATAAAGATAAGATAGAATAGATAATAGATGATATAGAAAGATAAAGATAGATAGATATGATATGATATGATATGATAGAATAGATGATATATATATAGATATAATAGATGATAGATGATATAGAAAGATAAATAAAATAGATAGATAGATGATAGAATAGATGATATATATATAGATATAATAGAAGATATATGATATAGAAAGATAAATAAAATAGATGGACAGACGGACGGATGGACGGATGGACGGACAGACAGATAGATAGAAAGATGTCATGGTTCCGACAGATGGCTGCAATGCTGGCTGATTCTGGCTTTCTCTCCCCCAGCGTCCCCACCGTGGACCCCTCAGGAGAGTCCCTGATCATCAGCCCTGAGGATTTCCGGCGGATTAAAGAGTCCTCTCGGATCCTGACTAAGGAGGAGCGTGAAGCCCAGCAAGCGGCCATCAGGGCAGAGCGAGAAGCCACCATTGTAAGTCTGTGAAAATCACCTGAGAGGGTTGGACTAGAAGACCTCCAAGGTCCCTTCCAACTTTGTTATTCTGTTATTCTACTATCCTTCCTTCCTTCCTTCCTTCCTTCCTTCCTTCCTTCCTTCCTTCCTTCCTTCCTTCCTTCCTTCCTTCCTTCCTTCCTTCCTTCCTTCCTTCCTTCCTTCCTTCCTTGCAAGTTGTTCCACTGGTTAATTGTCCTCACTGTTAGGAAATTCCTCCTTAGTTCCAGGTTGCTTCTCTCCTTGATTAGTTTCCATCCGTTGCTTCTTGTCCTGCCTTCGGGTGCTTTGGAAAATAGATTGACTCCCCTCTTCTCTGTGGCAGCCCCTCAAATACTGAAATACTGCCATCATGCCCCCCCCTAGCCCTTCTTTTCTCTAGACTAGCCAGACCCAATTCCCACAACCGTTCTTCATATGTTTTAGTCTCCAGGCCTTTAATCATCCGAGTTGCTCTTCTCTGCACTTTTTCCAAAGTCTCAACTTCTTTTTTGTAACGTGGGGACCAAAACTGGCTGCGGTATTCCAGGCGCGGCCTTACTGAGGCTTTACAAAGCGGTACTAATGCTTCAGGTGATTTTAACACTATGCCTCTGCTTATGCAACCAAGGATTATGCTAGCTTTTGGGGCTGCTGGCTCACATTTAAGTGATTGTCATCTGGAGCTGGTCACTCTGAGCTGCTTAGTGACTCCAAAACCAAACCCACCTCCTAAAGAATCTGGACTTTTGGGGGGGAAAGAAGCTTTATTTAAAAAAAAAAAAACCCGAGGAACACAGCCTGTTTTGGCCTCTCCCATTTCCCTTTTTATAAGCCTGCTCGGAGCTGTCAGGAAGCCAATTGGCAGGTTATTCCTGAGCAGGCTCTCCATCACATTCCTCCGTGCTCAATCATCAATCATTGTAGCGTTTGTATTTGTTTATTCCGTACTGCAGTGAAGTGGAAACAACTTCAATGGCAGCAACGGAAAAAAAAGGGTGGTGATTATCATGTTTTTAAATGCTGCAGTGATTAAAACTAACTCACGCTATCCAGCCACCTATAAACCTAATTTAGCAGATGAATAATAATTTGCATTGGCTGAAGTTCCTGACTCATCTTCAAATACACCCCATCTAAATCCAATTTATACTATTGTGTTGTCTTCTATCTATCTATCTATCATCTTTCTATCATCATCATCTCTCTTTATCATCATCTCTCTTTATCATCTTCTCTCTGTCTATCTATCTATCTATCTATCTATCTATCTATCTATCTATCTATCTATCTATCTATCTATCTATCTATCATCTATCTATATATTATAATCTATTTATCTCTATCCATTTCTCTCTCTGTGTAGTCTGTCTATCTATCATCTATTTATTAATGTATCTCTTAATGTATCCATCTCTTTATATCTATCTTTCGGTCTGTCTATCCCATCATATATCTATTTATCTCTCTCTTAATCTATATTTATCCATCTATCTCTATCTGTCCAGCATCATCTATTTATCTATTAATCTATCTCTATTTATGCATTTTATCTATCGATCTATCATCTCATAATATATTAATCCATCTCTATTTATGCATTTTATCTATCAATCTATCATCTCATAATATATTAATCTATCTCTATCTATTTCTCTCTCTGTCTGTTTCTATCTATCTATCTCATTGTCTATCTTTTAATCAAGATATATTTATCCATCTATCTCTATCTGTCCAGCATCATCTATTTATCTATTAATTTATCTCTATTTATGCATTTCTCTCTTATCTGTCTATTGATCTATCATCTCATATTAATCTATCTCTATCTATTTCTCTCTCTGCTTCTATCTATCTCATCGTCTATCTTTTAATCAATCTGTATTTATCCATTTCTCTCTTATCTGTCTAGCATCATCTATTTATCTATTAATCTATCTCTATTTATCCATTTTTCTCTTATCTGTTGATCTATCTATCATCTCATAATATATTAATCTATCTCTATTTTTCTCTCTGTTTCTATCTATCTATCTCATCGTCTATCTTTTAATCTATATTTATCCATCTCTCTCTACCTGTCCATCCATCCATCCATCCATCTCAAAGACCCTCTTTTGGGTGAGTTTTGTCATCCAAGATAAGGTAGGTGCCAGTGGATGAAGAAACATTAGCTATCCTGGCTCTTTTTTTTTCTTTTTCTTTTTAATTGATTTAAGTGCATCCTTTAATGCTTCCTCTTCCCCTCAGTCTGGCTTTGTTATTGATTGTGATCTCGGCTAGAAGCATTTCCTTGGAATTGGGCACGTCCATCCACCCGAAAGGAAGTTGGAGGCGTTGCCCGGTGTGAGTCTCGGCTGTTCACCGGAGTCCAGGGTGCGCGCCCAATGCCTTCCTCGTCTTCCCACCCCAGGTCGCCGTGAACGAACGCAAGAAATCCATGAAGCTGAAGGAGATTCTGCGGAAGAAAAACGAGAAGCTAAATGACCTGGAGGAGGAGGCCAAGGAGCGAGCACAGTACCTCTTGGAACGGGCGAACCACCTCCGGATGGAGCAGGAAGACGAGATCAAAACGCTCGGCGAGGTGGGCATCCATCCGGCTGAAGGAGGGAAGAATGGAAACTTTTGGCACCACCCTTAGATTTACAGATAGTCCTCGGCTTACCACCACTGGTGGGAAAAAGTGACTTATGATCAGTCCTCGGACTCACAACCATTACAGCATCCCCAAAGTCACACGATTACAAGTTTGGCCACCTTGGCATGTATTTATGACAGGGGCAGCCTCTTGGCGTCACGTGACCCCTGCTTATGGCCTTCCCAGCCTTTGCTTCCCACAAGCCAGATCAAGAAAAGCACAACTCAGTGATCAACTGCAGTGATTGGCTTAACCACTGTGGCCAAACAATAAAATCAGACGTGTCTCCCTTAACAACCACCCAGCTGAGCCTCGGTGTTTCTGGTGCCATTGTGGCCGTAAATTGGGGACTGACTGCAGCAACGTCCTTGTTCACCATAGGTGAGCAGGACATCCGTAGAGGTGAAGGTCCAAAGCAGGGGTAGGCAACCTCGGCCCTTTTATGACTCGTGGACTTCAACTCCCAGAATTCCTGAGCCAGCATGAGGGAAACATTGGCCCCCTCATGACTCGTGGACTTCAACTCCCAGAATTCCTGAGCCAGCATGGCTCAGCCTGGAAACTTCTCCCTTTCCCCTCAGCATGCCTGGCTCGGGAATTCTGGGAGTTGAAGTCCACGAGTCCTAAAAGAGCTTTCTCCCACATCAGGTGCAGACAAAACACGCGCGTAAGACCCAGTTTCCCTTAGGACATACAGGCGACCCTCGACACACGGCCACAATTGAGCTCAAAATTTCTGTCGCTAAGCAAGACCCTTGCTAAGCGAGCTTCGCCCCATTTTATAACCTTTCTTGCACCGGTTGTTAAGTGAACCACTGCAGCTGTTAGTAACACGGTTGTTAAATGAATCCAGCTTCCCCTTGTCAGAAGGCCGCAACAGGAGATCACGTGACCCCGGGAGGCTGCGACCGTCGTAAATACGAGCCAGTTGCCAAGCATCTGGATTTCAACCACGTGACCCTGGGGGAGTCCGCGACGGTCGTAACTGGGAAAGTGACTTTTTTTCAGTGCCGTTGTAACTTTGAACGGCCACTAAACGAACTGTTGTAAGTCGAGTCTTCCTGTGCCTTGGCAGACCATCCTAGAAGCCAAGTGCCATGCCATTCGGGACGCCCAGATCCTGGAGAAGAAGCAGATTGACAAGGAGCTGACGGAAGAAGAGATGAGATTAGCCCGGCTGATGGAGGTAGAAAGGCAGAAGGCCAACCAGATTCAGGATGAGCTGGCGCGGAAGAGGAAAGAGGAACTCTACAGGTAAAAGGGAGAGGCTTTGGGGGGTCTTCTTTGAGCCAGGCCCGGGAGAAACCTGCCAATAGATCACAAAATTTCAGAAACAGCCCCCCGTTGTAACACAAGGACGGGGGAGATGTCGGGCCACCGGGCGACATCTCAAGAGGGTTGAGATGAAGCCCCTCAGGGTCTCACGGGGACGAGAAAGTCAAGGTGACCGCAGTCCCTCAACTAGAGGGGTCTAGAAGAGTAGGTGTCAAACTTGGCAACTTTGAGACGGGTGGACTTCAACTCCCAGCATTCCTGAGTTAGCCTGCGTGGTGCAGACAACTGTCAAGCATGATGGCTGGGGGAATCCTGGGAGTTGACATCTGTCCATCTTAAGGCATGCTGGCTGGGGAATCCTGGGAGTTGACATCTGTGCATCTTAAAGCATGCTGGCTGGGGAATTCTGGGAGTTGACATCTGTCCATCTTAAAGCACGCTGGCTGAGGAATTCTGGGAGTTGAAGTCCAAACATCTTAAAGCACAGTAACTGGGGGATTCTGGGAGTTGGCAAGCGGCTTCCCTGACACCCCTTCCCCCTCATCTTTTGCAGGGGGAGGCGCCACCTCGTCAAGCAGATTGAGAAAAACGAGGAAGCGCGAGCGATGAAGGCTGAGCAACGTGACCAAGAGGCCCAGGATATGCTGGACTACCTGGAACGGCTGCAGTTTGAAGACGAGAGGGTGAGGCCAAGAAGCAGACGGGGAGGGGGATGCTGTGGCTCATGAGTTCTAGTCCCGCCATGAAAGCCGGCTGGGTGACCTTGGGCCAATCACCAGGAGTCGGTGAGTTTTAGTCCCGCCTTAGGCCTGAAAGCCCATTGGGTGACATTGGACCAGTCCCTTTTTCTCAGCCCAACCCACCTCACAAGGTTGTTGTTGTTGTGGGGAAAATAGGAGAAGGAAGCAGTCTTGGATATATTTGCCGCCTCGAGATACTTGTAAGTATAATAAAGGCGGGATACGAATAAGTAACTTAAATGACTAAATATACGGTGGCCCCCAGCAAGACTTAACTCTTATGAAAGTAGGCTGAGATGGAACTTCAGATTGTGGGTTGTTGTTGATTTTTCAGGGTAGGTGGAAAGAAAAGTTGTAAACATGTCGTTGCATGCTTTTAAGGGAAACAACACCACCAGGTGATAAACAGACTTTAGGACAGGTGAGGTCATGAGGTCTCTCTCTCTTTCTCATTCTCTCTCTCCCTCCCTCCCTCTCCCTCCCTCCCTCTCTCTCCCTCCCCCCTCTCTCCCTTCCTCCTCTCTCCCTCCCTCTTTCCCTCCCTCCCTCTCCCTCTCCCTCCCTCTCTCCCTCTCTCCCTCCCTCCCTTCCTCCCTCTCTCTCTCTCTCCCTCCCTCCCTCTCTCCCTCTCTCCCTCCCTTTCTCCCTTCCTCCTTCCCTCTCTCCCCCTTCCTCTCCCTCTCTCTCTCATCTAGGAAATGGAACGCCGTAGGTTGGAGCGATTGAGGATCCAGGCTGAGATCCGGACCATCAACGACGAAAACCAGAGACGCAAAGAGGAGAAGCTGAACCAGGAGAAGATGGCCGACATGCGGGTGCTGGAGTACCAGCGGCAGAAAATGGTAGGCTGTGGGTCGCGGCCCTCCCAGAAGCCGAGGGCTTCTCCTGATGAACCATCTCCCCAAAAGAGGTCCCGTTGTTGGGGAAACTCGACGGGGCCTTTTCTGGAGTGGCCCCGGGAGAGTGGAATTCCCTTCCCACAAAGGGTGAGGTCGGTCCCCGAAGGTGCTGAGGTGAAAAATCCCATGGATTTTCCTCCTGCCTGAGCAGAGGGTTGGGCTAGAAGACCTCCGAGGTCCCTTCCCACCCGGTTATTCCGTATCTTCTTCATGATGCAGGCACGGGAGGCCGAGTTTGAGGTCGAGCAGGAGAAGATCCGCCGGGAGAAGGAAATGGAGACGGCCCGTCTGCGGGCGTTGCAAGAAAAAGCCCAGGATCACCAAGCAGAACAGGTGCGGTCTGGGTATGGGGGGGGTCTTCAACCTCAATTGCTCACCCTTGTGTACCCAAAAAGCAGTCAGTCCCGCTCCATGGACCCCAAAATATCTGTAAGACAGTGAATGCACGTGACATAATCCATATAATAATAATAATAATAATAATAATAATAATAATAATAAGGAGGAGGAGGAGGAGGAGGAGGAGGAGGAGGAGGAGGAAGGGACCTTGGAGGTCATCTAGTCCAACCCCCTGCTCAGGCAGGAAACTCTATACCAAGCTCCTATTTTTTGTCAAGGTTCTGACTGACGAACCCAAGCAAGCAAGATGATCCAATCTCTTAATGCAAAATTTTATTGAGTACATCATTTCGGCGTGTCTGAAAGCAAAAAACAGCACTAGCAAGACTGAATTCTCCATCCTCCTTCCTGATTAGATCACATTGTCCAATCAAGTAGAAAAATGTCGTTATGAGAAAGTGTCTCTGGGTCTAGCCAGACATGTGGTGTAACGTCCTTGAGTCTCACTGTCTGGCTTCTTAATCTTTGAAGACTGCATTCCCAACTCTTTTCCTAGCAAAGCCATGCTTCGAAACTTGACAATTTACACACGTACCCCTTCTAACCCCCTGGCTGACTCGTTCTTTGTCCCCTCCCCCCCCCAGCATGCCCTGAGGGCCAAGCGCAACCAGGAGGCAACCGAGCGCGAGTGGCGCCGGAAGGAGAAGGACGCCACGCAGAAGAAGTTGCAGACGGGAGCCATGTTGAAGCAGAGCCGTCTGGAACAAGTGGCGCAGAAGGAGCACAATTTGGCCATCCAAGTGCAGCGGGACCGGGCTGAATTCGAAAGGATCGTCAGGTGGGGGCACCGGGTCACCTTCCTGCAATTTCTATCATGGGTCCTGATGGGGAGAAACCCCGAGGAGGGGGCAATGATCGGTCCAGCTTCAGAGTTTCTCAATCTCAGTAACTTTAAGAAGGACTTCAACTCCCAGAACTTTAAGTAGGACTTCAATTCCCAGAATTCCCCAGCCAGCAAGACTGGCTGGGGAATTCTGGGAGTTGAAGTCCACATATCTTAAAAGTTGCTAACTCAAGAAACATTATACTAGGCACATTTTAAGATGGGTGGACTTCAACTCCCAGAATTCCCCAGCCAGCCATGCTAGCTAGGGAATTCTGGGAGTTGAAGTCCACACATCTTAAAAGTGGCTAAGGTCGAGAAACATGAAGTAGACACATTTTAAGAAATGTGGACTTCAACTCACCTGCTGGCTGGGGAATTCTGGGAGTTGAAGTCCCCACAACTTAAAATTTCCAAAGGTTGAGAAACACCAGTCTAGGCAGGTAGTTTCAGAGGATGGATTATCATTTGGCAAACGAGAATTTTGCAACAATCTTTCTCTGCCCTAAACTAAACCAACTGCTCAGGGTGAGGAACTCCAGCCGAACTGAACAGATTTTTTTAGGGCCCAAAAGATGAAGATTTATTTATATGCTCTAATTTGGACTCAATCCCAGAGCTGCACTTCCCCATTCCCGCCACCGGGGGCACTGCCACGGGAACAAAATTACCCTACGCAAATATTTGGTTCCACCCATTGGCATCACTCAAAACTATGAATTAGTTATCACACATCCGTTTTGGATTGGGGGGGGGGAATTCAGATGGAACAATCATAGGATGACAAAGTGATCGATGGGTTGAATAAGAAAGGTTTTCCCCTCATATGACGACACGTTGTAAAAGGAAGCCCGTGGATACTCCCAGGGCATTGAGTTCAACCAATGAGGGGGCAGAGAAGGGCTGCCCCTCTGAAAAATAGGCAGGAATTGATACTTCTTGGGGGGCGGGGGCAAAGAGAAGCTGTGAGGACTACTGAACCATATACTATTTGTCCGGAATGGTCTCTAGGGTCTCCTACTCGAGCAGGGGGTTGGACTATATGACCTCTAAGGTCCCTTCCAACTCTGTTATTCTGTTATTCTGCTGCTCCTTAAGCTGGTTTAGAAGACGTGGTGGGTGGGATACCCATCTGCTAAAGATATACAGGCAGTCCTCGACTTACGACGACAACGGAGCCCGACGTTTCTGTTGTTAATAGCAATAGCGCTTAGACTCACGGCCCTCTCTAAGGGGCTTACGGAGTCAGCATGTTAAGGGATTCATTTGTTAAGCGAGTCTTGCCCCATTTTACGACCTTTCCCGCCACTGTTGTTAAGTGAGTCACTGCAGTTGATAAGTGAACAACCTGGTTGTTAAGGGCTTCCCCATTGCTCATCAGAAGGTTGCAAAAGGGGATCACGTGACCCCGGGAGACGCTGCGACCGTCATAATGTGAACCCGTTGGCAAGCGTCTGAATTTTGAACATGTGACCACGAGGGTGCTGCGACGGTCATCTAAGTGTGAAAAACGGTCATCAGTCACTTTTTCCAGTGCCGTTGTAAGTTCGGTCACTAAATGAAGAGTCGTAAGGCAAGGACTCCCCGTAGTAAAGGAAGCCAAAGCTGCTGGGATTTTGCTCGGAAGAAAATATGAATTGTTGAATGTTGAATGGGGGACTACCTGAAACTGGGACGGAGGGTCAGGGACCAGCTGTACATCCTCGCTTGCTCCCGGACGGACCCCCACTGCAACCTCTCTCTCTCTCTCTCTCTCTTTCTCTCACTCTCTCTCTCTTTCTCTCTCTCTCTCTCTCTCTCGCCCCCCCAGAATCCAGCGCGAGCAGATCGAGAAGGAGCGGAAGGAGCACGAGCGCCGGGTGGCCCTCCAGATGACCCACGCCGACGAACTCCGGCGCCAGGTGCGAGAACACCAGCAGAAGCAGGTCCAGGAGCGCATCGCCATCTTTGAAGAGGGCAAGCGGCTGAAGGAGGAAGCCCGCCGGCGCAGCGATCGCCTGAACGAGATCAAGCGGAGGAAGCTGGACGAGCTGCGGTAAGGGATCGACTCCCGGAGACATTTGGCGGCCGCTAGTTAGGATGGCGCCTCTCTGGAATGGAACGGACGTGGACCGTTAATGGGTCCATCCTACATCTGAACGGTCGCTAAGCGGCCAGCCGTAAGCCGAGGACTCCCTGTGCGTTGTCCCTCCATGAGGACTAGGCCCTTGTTTCAGCCGTTGATTATTTTTTCCCCTTGTTCTTTCTCTCTCCGCAGGGCTGCCGGACTTCCTGAGAAATATTGTGTGCAGGTGGAACGCAAAGCTTTCGTTCAGTCCGTCCACTGAGCAGCCGGGATGCTTTTTTAACTAGTTAACTCTCAACATGTAGCCTAGATTTTTATTTTCTTATCCTTATTTGAATAGATCTATTTCTGGATAGACTGGTGTGGAATTCGTTCTTTCTTTCTTTCTCTCCAAAAGTTTAAGGTGCATGGAAATGCCAGGTGTTATATTTATTTTATTTTATTTTATTTTATTATTTTATTATTTTATTTTATTTTATTTTATTTTATTATTTTATTTATTATTTTATTTTATTTTATTTTATTTTATTTTATTTTATTTTATTTTATTATTTTATTTTATTTTATTATTTTATTTTATTTTATTATTTTATTTTATTTTATTTTATTTTATTATTTTATTTATTTTATTTTATTATTTTATTTTATTTTATTTTTTATTTCATTTCATTTCATTTGTTTTATTATTTATTTTATTTTATTGTTCTGTTTTATTATTTTTAGTATTTTTTTATTATTTTATATTATTTATTTTATTTGATTATTTTAGTATTTTATTTGATTATTTGATATGATTATTTTATTTATTTGATTTGATTTGATTATTTGATTTGATTTGATTATTTGATTATTTTATTTGATTATTTTAGTGTTTTATTTGATTATTTTATTTATGATTTGATTATTTGATTTGATTATTTGATTATTTGATTTGATTATTTTATTTATTTGATTTGATTTGATTATTTGATTTGATTATTTTATTTTAGTATGTTAGTGTTTTAGTATTTTATATTTTTATTTTATTATATTTTATTTGATTATTGTTTTAGTATTTTATGTTTTTGTTTTATTACATTTTGAATGTTTTTATATCCCACCTTTTATTATTTTGACAAATTAATCAAGGTGACGAACATATCAAATCCTCTATTTTCCCCGCAATAACAACCTGGTGAGGTGGGTCAGGCTGAAGGAGAGGAACTGGCCCAAAGCCACCAATCTGGCTCTCCTGGCTAAGGCAGCACTAGAACTCACCCCCTCCCAGTTTCTAGCTGGCGCCTTAACCACTAGACCAAATTGGCCACACAATCAAACCCCAAAATAAACTGATAAGATTTTCAACATGTCTTTCTTTTCCCATAGTTCTCTACTTCCTACAGGTTTCCCCTCCCCCCCAGATCTTCTCCTTACACACAAACACACAAATTTCATCACATCAGACTCACTAACTAGGCAACCTGGTACCAGCTTCGATCAGACAGGACTGGGAACCCTGAAGAGCTGTTAAAACAATGGTGAACAAGCAAGATGGACCTCAAAGCCGTCATCCTTCAACATTTACGCTGTGGTTTAGCCTTGCTGGGATCCAGAGATCAACAACGTCTAGAGAACCGGCAATTTCCCATCCATTTTCTCCACCACCTTTGTAGCTTCTTTTTTCTTTTATAAAGAAGAACTCTCTGCAAAATGGGGACATCGTCTCAACCATATAAAAACAGAGTCTGGCTCTTTTTGATTTTCCATTCACTATATCGGGATGATACTAATATACATGACAATGAGGGCAAGCTCCCTGCTATTGCCAAAAGTAGCCCGGATTAATTTGGATTATATCTCAAAACGTACTCAAGAGGTTCTTAAATATTACTTGAAGACCCCAGAGTAGCTTAAGGAACAAGAGAAAACCTGGGTCTCCCATTGGCCCAAAGTCAAGAAACAGGAAAAAGCGTTGTGTATTGCTTTGTGTTGTGTGAGGTGCGAGAAAACACCTCTAGGAAGGAGGGAGGTAGTGATAAGGAAGAGCTAGAATGAAGTTTAATTCTATTTATTTACTTATTTATTTATTCCCTACCCTGAGCAGGGGGTTGGACTAGAAGACCTCTGAGGTCCCTCCCAGCCCGAGGACTACAGATAGTCCTCAACTTATGACCACAACTGAGCCCATTTCTGTTGCTAAGCAAAACCCTTGTTAATTGAATTTGCCCCATTTCACGACCTCACCACAATTCTTAACTATTCACTGCAGTTGTTAAGTTAGTAACCCTGTCGTTAAATGAATCTGGCTGGGGATCACATGACCCGGGGAGACACTGCAACCGTCATAAGTACCAGTCAGTTGCCAAGCGTCTGAATTTTGATCACGTGACCACGGGGGAATGCCGCACTGGCCGTAAGCGTGAACCACGGCCCTACGTCCCTTTTTCAGCGTGGTTGCAATTTCGAACGGTCACTAAACAACCTGTTGTAAGAATATACTACCTGTAGTATATTCCGTAACTTCTCCTCTGGGCTGAAGCGCGACTCGAAAAATGAATAACGCAAGCGGAATTCTGAAACTTGGTTCCACTTTTGCATCCGGCAACTCCCTGTAGGGCTCAGATTTTATTTTAATGACAGACTTTTCATCCGTCTCCCAGTTGATCAAATCCGGATGTTTGATGAAACAGAACATAATCGTGTTGAGAGGGAAACTCCCCTTAGCTGACCGTGACCCCCGCTAAAATCAAATGCCCGCTTTAAAAGGCGCCTTGCCCTTGTATCGGTGTCAACACGCAAACACACACCCTCTTTAATTCTCCAGAGAGGAGTGGGCAGCCAGGATGCGTTAAATCCACTCCACGGCCATCAGGCAAACAATCTTAATTGCCAGCCAAGCCGCCACGTCCCCCCCAAAACGGGTGGTAAACAACATTTATGATTCACTTCTATCTTGGGTCAGCTTTCCGTGGATTTTTGGTGGAGAACCAGCCAATCTGAACCAGGGAAAACCAGCCAGATCCATCCAGCTGTAATTAAGTACTTAGGAAAACGCGGTGTGCCAAAATCGGCATCACCAATTTTTGGCCACCCAACCTCGGATGCTCCACCTGCCACGGATGGTGGAATTAAACTCTATTTTCTCTCTCTCTCTCCCACTGAATTAATCTGAGATTACCCAGCGGTAATCTCGTTTTTTAAACATTTCTTTCTTCTGCTTTTTCCCTGCCACCTTTCCAGAAACAGGCTGAAGGAACCTCGGATGAGTTTAATAAAAAAAACAACAACAACCCCAAAGTTATTTCTGCTCTAGGAGGGCGTTCTTCTTCTTCATTTTCTTTTTTTTTTGTCGCTCACCCCGTTTATTTTGGGAAGTGCGTGTTTGAGGCCCTCACCCAAGCTTGTAGCTATCTGACTCGCTTGCTTCTAAGCTCTAATTAGAACTGGAAGTTAATTAAAATGAACTCGGGGAGGTTGCAATTGGCAACGCCATCTTTTGGACCAACCCTTCCTTCTACTGCTCAAACGTAAGGAATGTGGTCTTCCTGGAAAGCGAGACGCAGCAAGTTTTTTGGGGGAGGCTGGAAGACACCTCAGCCCGGATATTTCTTTTTTTCAGTTCTTTTTTTTGCACGACGTGAACAGAGCGGGATCATTGTTTTCGAGGTTCCTTCACCCCAATTTAGAAAACTGCTCCCCGGGAGGCAAGGAGAACTACGCAAGCGGCCAGGTGTGGATGCCCACGGCAGTACAGCCACAGAAAATCATTTTAGGGTTTCCGCTTGGAACAGAAAAGTAGCCTGAACAGATCAGGCTGAGGTTCTCCAGGTCAATCTTTGCTTCACGGTCGATTCGATAGAGCTTCTTTCGTTGGACCAATTCTTTGGGGTTTCCCCCCCCCCCAGAAAAGTTTTCTTCAAGTTTATTTTAAGAGAAAATGCTGATACAAGCAAAATTTAGGAAAGTTCAAAGGAGAGAAAGGTGTAAAAAGAGGAAGGAAGGAAGGAAGGAAGGAAGGAAAGAAGGAAAGAAGGAAAGAAGGAAGGAAGGAAGGAAGGAAGGAAGGAAGGAAGGAAGATTGGAGAGGAGAAGGAAGGAAGATTGGAGGGGAGAAGGAAGGAAGAAAGGAGGGAGGGAGGGAAGCAAGGAAGGAAGGGAGAAGGAAGGAAGGAAGGAAGGAAGAAGGGAGGGAGGGAGGGAAGGAAGGAAGGAAGGAAGATTGGAGGGGAGAAGAAAGGAAGGAAGGAAGGAAGATTGGAGGGGAGAAGAAAGGAAGAAAGGAAGGAAGGAGGCAGGGAGGAAGAAAGAAAGAAAGAAAGAAAGAAAGAAAGAAAGAAAGAAAGAAAGAAAAAAAAGACATTTTTTTCCAGTGCAGTAGAATACCAAAAGAATTACAGCCACAGCCCTTGCTTTACATTTCTAAACACCGGACGTCCTCGACTTAACAATGATTTGTTTAATGACCATTCAAATTTATAACAGCACTGAAAAAAGTGAGTTAGGACCAGTCCTTGCACCTACAACGTAGCATTCCCAAGGTCACATGATCAAAATCTGAATGCTTGGCAACTGGCTGGACGTATGACAGTTGCGCCATCCCATCCTTTGTGAACTTCCCAGCTAGCTTCTGCCAAGCCAAGTCAATGGGGGAGGCTGGCTTTGCTTAAGGACTCAGTGATTTGCTTAACAACTGCAGTGATTCAGTTAACAACCCTGGCAAAAAAAAAAGGTTATAAAATTGGGCATAGCAATTTACTTAACCATCGCCTTGCTTAGCATCAGAAAATCTAGTCTCAATTATGTCGTAAGTCAAGGACCCTCTGTATTTCAAGCCCTTTCTACAACAAGATCATTTCAACCGTCAAAATCTAAAATGGAGAGTTTTATTTTTTTCGGGTTTCGAGCACAAAACCCAGAAGCCCTTTCCAAAACGGAAAGCAAAATAGATAAATTCTCCTCTTTAATTAAAACAATTACTTTGGCCATCTCTGCCACCTCCACCGCCTTCACCATCCCCATTCTTTCGTTGTGGGGACTGGTGCATCTTTATGCATATAAATTCTCATCCAAGTCAGTGGTGCCCTCACCACTTCTTGTGGCAATGAGTTCCCCAAGTTAACAAGGTCCTCTTGCGTTGCATCAAAATGCAAACTCATCGGCAACTCAGACCCAACCTACATCTAGCCATTGTTAGCCGGCGAGCANGAGGATTTTATTTAGGGACGATTTTAAGTATAATTTTAATTGGAACACAGCTTCGAATATTTGGTTTTAATTTGGTTTTAGAGGGGTTTTTTATTTTTATTGATATGTGTATCTGTTTTAATATGCTGTGCACCGCCCTGAGTCCTGCGGGAGAAGGGC